GAAACACCCAGACATCCTGTGGGCCTGCATTACAGCTGTGATTTCCTAAATTTTGGGCTAACAGACCATTTCTTTTCTATCTCAAAACCAACTACACTGGGCTGATGAACAGAGTTTACACTTCAGCTTAACTCCTTGGAAACCACAGGCTGGAAATTGCTGCCTTGGATACTGAGATTTTTTTGCAAAAAAAAATCAGTACCTTCCAAAACCTTGCAAAAGCCAAGCCAGTCATCAGTGCTTTGCAGGGAGTATTTCAGCAGCAATGGTCAGTCCCCAGGAATCCTGGCTGCCAGCAGAAAAAATGGCATTTGGCTTCATTTCCTTTTTAGACACCCAGGCATCCTCCTTCTCCACTCTGTAAATAAAAGCAGGATGTGCAGAGAAAACACAGCATCTTCTTATGACCAGTCAAAGAAACTAACGGGAAAAATCCTGGTTTCCAATCAGTTCCAGCCCTGAGCAGTAATGTACACAACCGGATTAGCCAAAGGGCTGCACTCCTGTGGTTCCCGCAGAGCCGTGGGATGCTCAGGGATGCTGGGCTGCCAAAGGCAAAGGAAATGCCAGCGTTTGGCTACAGTGCTCAACACCTGCTGATAAGAGCTGATTACCTCCCCCACCTCTCAGTTTTCAGAATTTACTCCTGCAATCTCAGTGTTCCATTGCAGACCCAGTCACTCTGAAGGAAGCTATTAAATTAAAACGAGGGGCACGTGGGCAGCAGTCCCCACTCCCCCGAGTGTGAGTGTCGTTCGGAGCAAATAGCTTGTTTCATAGTTTGTAAAATGTAGTTGGCAGGGGTTCAGTGTTATTCTAGGAAATCCATGTAGCCAACATTTCTTTCTTGTAATATAGCACCATCAGGAATATGGAGAGTGATTCTGATTTTTATTTTTTAAAAGGTAAACAGACAAAACATCTGTAGGCTGTGTCACCAAGTCTTGACTTTTCTTTTGAAAAGCAGTCTGTCTATAAAATCAAAATCAACCATAAAGCAATTTTATCTGAAACAAGACTCTCTGAAGCATTCTCTTAGAGCATACTCATGATGGGAGTTTTATCTGCTTTTTTACTCCCAAATTAAATGCTGCAAGAACATAGACCTTACCTCTCTAATCTTTTTTCACTAGTAATATCAATCTATCTTTGCAGATGCCTATCAGAAGGATTTTAAGTTAGCAAGATTTGGGGACATAATTTGGTCTGAGTGGGAGTTTAGAAAAATTCCCAAGGCTTTTTCACCCAACTGCAACTATTCAGGAGGGGCTTGGGGGTCAGTGTGACTGTCAGATCCAAAATGCAATTTTACAGGGGGAGGAAAGAGGAAATAGAGATCTGTTAGGCTGCTTTTCTTGACTCAGATTGGAAAGCAAATCTTTTCCAGCCTCTCTTGGAGGAGTTGCTCTGGTTTGAACAAGTAAGGACACAGTTACTGGGTCAGAGATAGATGGATGACAACAGAGCCAAATCTGAGGTCACAGGGGCTGGGATAGCAACTTATCTTGGGACTACCAACTTGTGTTTGCCATATCCCAGAGCATTCACTCTCCTGGGAACTTTTCCCTGCATTTTCCTCCTTTTGTTGGATGAAACAAATCCAACATCTCAGGCTCTTTCATTAGCTGGGAAAACCATTTCCTCCCCAGCTTCCAGTATGCAGAAAATGCTTGGCCCTGCTGCCCTTCATCTCTTGGTCCAGCCACACAGCAGGACTAACACAGCCCTATTTATAGCCTGTTTAAGCCAACACTGGGGAACAAAATGATGCACAATCCTGGCTCAGCCTCTCTGCTGTGTACACGTTTTACCCTTCCTCGACAAGATTTAATCTGCTTAGGGTTAACTATGTAGCGGATGTCCAAGACCTTTGAATCACACCTTAAAAAGACTGAAAGACCAAACCCATAATTGCAAGAGCAGAATCTCTGATTCACTGCAAACCATTTGTTATCAGCAATTAAGTTTCTCGCTGATAAATGATTCATGACTTGAAAGCCCAGATTACTCACTTTTAACCACGGCAGAAATTCCTGTGTGATTATGAACGCCTGGGCTACGCATCTACTACAACAGGCTGGGAAGTCTGAATGTGTGAAATGACCAACCACTCAAATACAGAAAATAAGAGCTCTTACACATATTTTTTCATTCACAGTTTGTAAAAAATAACAACATACTTCAATTTCAACGTGACTGATGTGACTATAAACATAAACTGACTTCACTAGCAAATATAAACACCAACTTTTGCTTTACTGGAGGCAACAGAACTAAAACAGTTTGACTGATATCCAGGCCTGGCCTACTAATTAAAAAGGCTTGAAAGGAAAACTCTGAGCTCCTGGTACACTCTAGTTCACCATAACTAAGGCTTTTGTCAGCCATTTGATGTAATCATTTATGGTGTTCAAAACTGTATTTTTCAAAAACCATTCAAACCATAAACCAGATGAGTCATGACCCTGTAACAGAAGGTAAATTATTCTCAAATATTTTATATTTTTGCATTAACACATGCACAACACATTTTTTCTTCAGTCAAGAAAAAATGAAGGCCCAAGTCCAAGAAGTAACTGACAAAAGACTGAAGGGAAAAATGAGAATTCTTAATTTTATTATTGTGCAACCAGCTGTAAGGAATTACTGGTCTGAAGCACAGTGTGCAATTGTCTTATCCTAAACATTTACTAAAGCCTATAATTCAGAATGATCCTGACTAGTGAAGTCACCATTGGCAAGCTATCATTTTTTTCTTTCTTATTTTTGAAAAAGTCTGCATTTCTCACCAATTAGCACAAACATAGGCACAGCCTATGCACAGAAATGCTCAACATTTTCAGGAGGCTGTATTTCGTTAGTGCCTGCTGCTTTGACTCTGAGATCAAAAGAGGCAGCAAGTTTTGGACTGATCATATTTGATAGTTTGCTAAAAGCAGAAGAATTCCTGTTTGAGATCAAATGACATCAATATGTATTGTTTCCTAAATGCAGGGCAGAGTGCCTGCTACTTGTGTGAGGATAGCTTGAAATAAAGAATTATCATGATCTTCTGCAGAAGTGCTATACACAAGTAACTGTGCTAATTGAAAGGAAAAAAAGAGAGTAAGAGTCTTCATAAATTAAGCTACTTTTGCACTATAATATCATGCAGCTGATTTTTTTGGGTGAAGAGGCTCATCAGGTGCCTAATAAGAGAAGATACTTGGCACAGCTCCATGGCCATTCCAGTTGATGCCATGGTTAACAAGCTGGCCACCACACAAGGCCAATCAGGCTACTGGAATTCCACAATACTCACTAATGGCTTCAGCAGCTTAACGGTGCCAGACACACAGTGCCATTAATTGGGCAAGAGGGAGAAGGAAAAAACACCCAGGAAGGAGGCAAGATGCCATTCACCTCCTGAGCAGCCCCTCAGCACAACCTGCAGACCCCAACTGCAAGAAAATGAGACAGACTGAGGAGCAAGAGGAAGGTTGCAGAGCCAGGTCACAGCTCTCTGCTGTGAGAAGCTGTTTGTGCCCCCAGGAGTGCCAGGGCAGGGGAGTGTGACCCTCACCCAGCACACAGCCACAGTGTGACCCTTACCCAGCATACACCTGCACTGTGACCCTCACCCAGCACACACAGCTGCAGTGTCACCCTCACCCAGCACACACACAGCTGCACTGTGACCCTCACCCAGCTCACACCTGCAGTGTGACCCTCACCCAGCACACACACACCTGCAGTGTGACCCTCACCCAGCTCACAGCTGCAGTGTGACCCTCACCCAGCACACACAGCTGCAGCTGGACCCTCACCCAGCACACACATAGCTGCAGTGTGACCCTCACCCAGCTCACAGCTGCAGTGTCACCCTCACCCAGCACCCTCACCCTCACCTGCAGAGCTGCCCAGCACTCCCAAGGCCACGGGCAGTTGGAACTCTTCCCGCGTGCTCCGGCTCTTCCTAAGCCACCAGCAGCTGTGGTCATTCGCCCGGTGGGGAAGAAGCTGAACAAGGCTGATTAATGATAAAAATACTTGTCCTTTTAAAAATTTATTTTCAGTTCAAAGTGAATCACAACTTTCTGCCCCTCCCTCTCCCCTCCTGCGAAGACAGAGGTACCTCCAGATAAACTTTTTTTTTTAAGCATCAAAAGTGTAACACATTTCAACTGCTGCTGATACAGGTTTTACAGTGATGACTGTCAGAGAGAGATTGTTTGTGCAACTCCTTAAGGAGCAAAAAGGAAAAATCCCTCTTACAAATGCAGATAACTTTTGGAATGTAAACAGGTAATACACACAATTACTGCATTACCAGAAGTACTATGCATTTCTCAAAACAGTTGAACATAACACTTTACAACACATATTTGATATGACCCAATCATAACTTGAAGGGAAACTGTGTACCCTATAAGAATAACTATGTACCCCTATAAGATAGTAATTCCTGCCATAACTTACAGATACACTGACAGTATTGATGTTAAAGAAGGAGGGTTTAATCTGATTTCACCCATGCTCTGCTGATTTTTAATGTGTGGCTTAATTCACTCAATATCTTTTATAAAGGTATGTAAACAGTTCTGATTTAAAGACCAGAGAGATTTAAATGAAATTAACAGATCTGGAACTGGTCCATTTTAATGTCTTCATTAACTCAGATACCTTATTTATCCCTGAGCACCTTAAAATTGTTCCCTCCAAATCTCAGTCAAGAACACATAACTATTTCACAAGAATGAAAAACTTCAATTGAATATATGTGTGTCTTATAAATCCCATTTTCCTGCACTGATCTGAACAAAACATAACAAAACAAACCCAAACCAAACCGTGTCCCCTCCCCTTTGTTTTTTACATGTACTGCAATACCGGAACAAAAATTTCACCCTAACAAACAACATCACCTACAGACACACTACAGACTACAAAAATATTGCATAGGAGTGTCAGTGGGCATAGTCTCCCAACATGAGAGAAAATGCTAAGTTTTCTTTAAAACATTATGGCAACATTCTAATTTATTTTCCTTTTAAAAATCAAGTGGTTTCACTTTATTTCAAAATCGTACAAAATGGCCATGGCTGTTTATAAAAAAAAGTCTCTGTCTTGAGAATATGTGAAGTCTCAGGTGCATCAACAAAAGACCTGGAACCATTCACAGTGCAGCGGAAAGCTTCTTTTGAGGCAGAAACTACAATTCATCCTTCTTCTTTCCTACTCTTTCATGATCTCTTTCTCTCAGGGTTCGCATGAAAGTGGTGAATCCAGACTCCTGGTTTTGAAGGAAGAAAAATATGGGTCATATTTTTACCAACAAAGCAAAACAACGCATCAAGAACACTTTGAGCTTCTGCATCCCAGCAGAATATAAACTAAGGAGCAGTTGTTTAGTTTCTGTAGCCCATGGCGGAATAGAAACCAGGGAGCAGTTACTGCTGCATTGCCTCATCGCGCCATACTCTGGTCCTGTGCTGCTCCACTGCAAGGGGAAAATATCCATGCACATCCCACATGCCAGACTTTGAAGAGATGGGACACAGAGAAAAAGTCCCTAAAACTCATAGGACAAGGTAAAATCTGTCTCTAGAAGTGCTACTGATGCCGTTTTATTGAAAACACTCAAAAGACATTTTCAAGCTGCCTTTGTATGCTATTTGTGTCATTTTAAAAGCAGTTACTGGATTGTTTGTTGACTGTACACACATTTGCCACTCATCCTCTAATAGTTTTGATCACAATTTTTCTCCTTATCCAAACATTCTAATGATTGAAATCACTTTTTTTCTTCAAGTTACTATTAAACTTATTATCAAAAATCTCAAACCTGGTTGTCTAGATGCCAACCTCTGTATTTCAACAACTTACCAACTTATGAATTAAGGCTGTTGACTGCCACCAGTTTCCTTTTCCAAGGAAAGCTGTCTTTTCCAAGGAAAGCTGTGAACACAGCACTAAGGCATTTCAGAAGGCTCAGGTGGGTTGAGGTGTGAACACCTGTGTTGGAATACACTGTCTACTGGTACCCCAACATTGAAGTTTTCTGGGCAAGTGACACTGCTCCCACCCAATCTGACCATTTTTGCATTTAAACAATCATAGAACACACCACTCAAAACTGGTGATGAAGAGGGAAAATACCAAAGGTAGAGAGCAACTAACAGAAGTTAAAGACTTAAAAGAATGTTGTGGAAGAACAAAACAAAATAAACCCAACCCAAACCACAAGGCTGGTAAGTTTTTAGAAGGCTGAACAACAAAAAGCTTTTCTAAAACTGTTCATTATTCTTCCACTGAAAATAAATGAAGTGACAAGCTTCAGCCCTTTGTCACCTGAGACATCTGGCAATCAGCAGCCCCCATGACAGGCACTGTGCTAAGCACTGCCTGCAGCATTACCATGGTAAGAGATAGCAAACCCCAGTTCAATGCTGCACAAGCAGAAGACCGTAGGGTCCCCAGAGAGGTGGAAGGGGAACAGAGCAGCCATCAGCAGAGAGACCAGGATGGTCCTGTGGGTAATTTTTACCCAAGAAAGGGTTGAGTACATATAGGGGATTTGTTAGTCCACTTTCCAGCATATGGATAAATATCTCCTAACTCCTGTGGCCTCAGAGCACTCCTGCTCTGCAGAGTATATATAATATATAAATATTATATAAAAATAAGTTATATGCTATATTGGATATAAATGATTTTTATCAACCACCACGGATCCTTCCTTTCATATGTCATTTCTCTAAGAACAGGTTAGAAAGGCAAAAACTGCAGCTGAAATCTTACTTCAATTGTTGGCTACTGCACCTATCTTTACTTTTAAGAAAAGATCCAGAATTGGAACTAAACACAGTATCCATAACAACGGCTGGATCAGCACCATGAAATGGTAATTATTGGAGTCCAAGCATGCTGAAGAAAACTGGGAGGCAAAGCTCCATGAAGACTTCCCCAGGATCCTGACTAACAGAGAACCTCAGAACCTGGCTTTTAAATTCATGCTTCTATATAATTTTCTGCGCTCTAACAGCAGCAATAACTTTCAAGCAAGAATCTTTTTTCAAAATCACTGCATGGCTCAAAGTCCCCAAGTTTTTCTTGCAGACCCCAGGCAATCAATGGCTGCTGAGGAGTAACCTCCCTCTAGGAGGTTACGACAAAGGCAGCCCACAAATAATTGAATTGCTTCCTTATTTTCAGGCACTTTACAACCACTGAAGGCATCATGCCATTTCTGCCCCCATTTCTTGCACTCATAGCATATAATTAGCTGGCCACAGCAGGACAAAAGAATGAAACTTCAGCCCAGGGGTAGATGGCACAATTTGTCTTTCCATCCTGAGTGCCAGGAGTGAATCTGATTCAGGGCAAATGAGATATTTACTTTCCTCTAGTCTCCAAAGGACAGCTTTGTCCTGGCTATAAAACCAATGGTCTGTCACCATTTGGCAGCCTGGTGGATCTGTAACACGTTTGCAGTGTCCATGCGATCCAGAACTGACAGGAGTTAAGCCCTGTGTTTTCTGGCATTTCTGCCAGCAGCACATGCAATAAACCCTTCCCTTTCACTCAGTCCAAATTCACTCACAGACTTCAGCTTATAGAATAAAATACACAAAGAATATTACCAAATCTAATCCTTTTTCCTCTTCTCATGCTCCTAAAAATAGACCAAGATTGTTCCTAATGCAGAGATGTACAGGGGTGTGGTACACTATGATTCATCCATGTAAGACAGCAACAGAGGCATGGTAAAATTTCACTCCGCGGTTTTCATTTGCAAGGCAGGACAGGCAGAGGAGACTTTGCTCCCTGTACCAGGTGATGACTCTTGCTTTCACTTACCCCTCGATCTCCAGTATATTTTTCCACAAATTTCCCGTAGTTGTAATAGTTGAAGGTGGGGTAGCCATCGACCCCCTCCTGCTTACACAGGTCGTGATTCTGTCCTTTGGCACAGTCCACTGCAGCGTAGGCAATCTGAAACACAAGAGATCACACTGAGGCAGGAGAGAAAGCAAGAACCCATTTCATGGTGATGCTGCTGCTGCAGCTTAGCCTTAGCACTGAGAGAGACTTAAGTCTTCTGCCAAACATGCAGTGGCTTCTGTAAGGGCTTAGCTGTGGAGGGAGAGCAGAGGATGGTCATCACCTGGCCTGTGCACAGCACATTCAACTCACAGAGCAGAAAATCACCTTTGCAGCCTCCCAAGTGAGTTCTGTGTTAGACTCCAAACAGGAAATCCAGAGGCTGGATTAATAAAACCAAATCCGGGCAGAGCGGTCACAGCTCTGTCATGCTGCAATATTTTTCCTCCACTTTGGTTTTAAGTGATGAATAGTGACAGTGGCTTTGGTGATGGTAACGACCCACCTAACCCAACCTCATTTCCAGGGCATGCTAATGCTCAGAAAAGTTACCAAACATGGCTGGTCACTTATGCAGCCTTTTCACAGACTAATGTTTTCTACTCCAAACAGCTTTTCTAAACTCCATGCAGTTCTTCCAAGGTCAAATGGGGATGAGTGAGAAGCCAGAGTATCATCTACCAAGCACTGCATGTACAGAAAAAGGTTGCTTGCTTATAATCTCAGCCTATGTTTGTATTTCCTTCCCTGTCTTCTTCCAGGATTGTACATTATATGCAGCCATTAGCAAACTGGGCTTTAATTCCTTTTTAAACCTCTAGATGCTACTGTCACACAGACAAACCCTGAGTAGGAAAGAGCCTGCCACACTTTCAGCCTATTGACAGTGGAGCAACACCCTCAGTCCCTGCCTGCTTCCACACATGCAGGGCAAGGAAGCACAGCCTCACAGCCCCAGAGCAGCAGCTTGGAACATTCAAGTCCTGACTCTGTGAAGTATTGAGGAGGGGCTGCCCCTACCAGTTCTGATGCTGAAACAAAATGGAATTCATAGGCTTCTACTCAAAGCAACTGAGCCCTGTGCTGTGATTTCACCCTGACTGTTCCTGTGAGCAGCAGTTTGGAATCTGAATGCAGGCTGCTCACATAAGCTCTGCACTCACAGCCCCAGCCAGGCCCTGCTGAAGGGCAAGCACGTTGGAGCACAACCTATGCAAAGAAACCAAATTAGAGGAATGACTTTTTGCAACTTTTCAGTGGGTTACAATTTATCAAGTGCTAATTTCATAGCAGACACATCCTAATTTGAAATTTCCATTCCACAAGCCTCCTTCAAACAGCTGATCAAAATACCTTTTGCTTGCATGACTTTAGGGTTGCGGTTGAACTGTTCTTCCATAATTAAAAGATCACTTAATATTCCACAAAGTCCTCCTGTGTCATGGTGACACTGTCAAAATGGGAAAACCTGATCTCATTATCCTAGAAGTAATTAAAGAGATTGGCAAAGCCAACTTCAGTTAATTTGCTTGTTTTGCTTTGGCTTTGAAAGCCTGACAAGACAATTCTCAGTATGATCTCGCTTGGTCTGTTTTCAAGTGGAAAGTATGAGATAAAGTGAACAGTGTTCTTACCTTAAATATCTGGTTTCTGATTTTGAACATTAATAAGGCTGTTAGAGAATGAGGACTCTTGAAAGCTGTTAAAAACATGTATGGCCCTATTTTTTTTCTTTTTGTAAACACAAAGATTCCTACACATTCAGGGCCAATTTAAATGAAAGATTACGAATAATAAACTGTAGAAGAGTTTCATCTAAGTATTTCTGCCCTCCTGACCTCAGCAGCCAGCCAAAATTTAGAGCTCTGTTGGCTACTTCTGTGTAAAGAAAAGCTTAGAATGGAGACAAACTTTTATTTCATGACACAGCATGAAGTAGAAAGAATACTAGAAGTTCTGATTTCCTAAAAACTAGAACATATAAAATAATCTTTTTTCTCACTGCTTTAAATATCACACAGGGAGAGATTACATCCAAAAAAGGGGAAGGTATGCATGTGCTCATCCAGATCTTAGTAGCTGGTTTGAGACATTCCACTGTTGTGACTGATGACACATCTGTTCTCAGTGTCTTGGAGATTAAGAAAATGAGTTTTTAGTACACTGGATGGAAGAGGGAAGAAGTAAAAGAAACTCTCTTTATCTGTACCTCTGGAAATATCTAAACTGGTACCGGCTGGAGCAAAGCATGCAATTTAATTTACCTTTTGTGAGAACAGCCCCCAGTGAGGAGAGGGTGCAGTGCAGGAATCCAATGCTGTAAGCCACTGTTAACCTTGTTCAGAACATCTTCACCTGTTGCCTCAGAACAGATGGACCTCAAAGAGGTGGCTTCTGACAGAAATGCTCAGCAGCATCCTTGAGACACTGCTCTCCTCTACAGCACATGGAAACCTAAGCTGCCCATCTGTGCCTTAGCTGTGCACACAAAGATCCCAGTCTAAGTCTGTCCACGGCAGCCACATGAGCCCAGTGCTGTGTCTGATCCAACAGGTTTAATGGCACATCTGGAATAGCATGTGGGGGACATGTCCACGGTCTGTCCCCTCTGCAGTGCTCCTAATGCAAGCTCCCACACAGCCCCACCACTGCAAGCACCATTTTGAGCCCAGCTCTACAGAACACACACATTTGGTTATTTTTACAGCCAGGGAGAGAAGAGGAACGGCGATTTTCAAAAGCCTTGTAACTCATACAGACGTGAGCAAAATTTCATAGAGGAACATCTAATTCCCAAGACTGTATCTGAGGCTGCATTCAATGCCTGCTGCCAACAGTGGCTGAGTAAGAGTACTTAGGAGAGCTTGAGTGATTACTTTAGAGTGGAAATGTTAAGGCAGCCTAAATATAGAGGTTGCTACCATCTCTGTGCACTCATTACCATAGCATATCACAGTCCTAATTGTCTTGCCTGTCTCACAGCGGAAGATCAAATATAGTGCACTGAGAGAGGAGAAAAGTGATGCTGGAAAACACTTGTAGCAAAACACACTTCTGGACTGGGGACCAATTCTCATCTCCATTCCATCAACTCCAGGCAGCTGAACTCTGAGACACACCAGAATTTCAGCAAATAGCACTGATGCCCTTTGCTTCTTTCTGTTTGTGTTTTCATGGACTGTGAATACTGAGCTCCATTGCTGGTAGAGGTGTATCCTACCAGAGTGAATTCCTGCATGGCTCTACTCAAAGGCTGCATGTAAAAAGATGCAGAATCATGGCTCAAGTGAGCAGTAATACACTGTAGGGAAAGTTTCCCCTCATTCTCAGCTCTCTTAGCAACAGTCAGCTTTTCTGCTTCACTAAAGAAGGAAACTGAGTCAGGAAAAATAACAACCAAAAAAACCTCTCTCAAAATGTGGTTAAAGACTTCTGGAGAATATTCCCTTCAGAAATGATCCTCATATTCAGCTACCAGCAACAACTTACACAGAAGTGCACTGGAGAGCACAGGTTAGCAAGACCTACATGCTCTGACCTGTAAACCCACTAAGTTTATTCAACCAGAAACTGCAGACATATTAAGCATAAGACATCCATAGTAGGTGTCCAAGAGCCAAGACACTTGGCAGCACCTGTCACAAATTCCCTCTTATCAAGAGGGAAAAACCTGCTAAAAGTATGTGAAAGAAACTCTGCTAACACTGGTCTAACATTTATGTGTGTGTGTATATGTCCATTGTGAAAAAATCCAGTGTAACAGCTTTCAGAAGGCAAGATTGATTTTAGGAAGATTTTGATTGTTAGGGCTAAAATTTAATTTCTTGAGCTTTCCTCTAACCAGAAGGGAAAATTAACTGAAAAAATATTTCAGGGAGAAAAAGCTGTAAGTGCTGTATCTGCAACATGCACAAAACTCCACGGGATTATGGATTCTCTATAACCCAAAGCTCTGCTGCCTTAGATATTGACAACACATCATTATATACAAGTCCTTTCCAGAGCCAATGCCGTTCAGGTCTATCACCAGCCTGTTCAGTAGCTGTTGCAGGAATAGAAATGTTATCAAATGAAAAGATAATCAATCAGAGACTGTGGACCCCAAAGGAAGTTTCTTGGAGTACATCCAACTTTCGTAATTTTACAAGTAGTTCCTCACAAATGGCATGCAACTCTTAATAATTAATAGTATCAGGTGAGTATGTACAGTGATGCATAATAATGATAACAGCAGCAACAATAACCCACCAAATAAGTATGCATTTCCCCATAGTCAGGATAGGTTAATATAACTCTGGAAACATCTGGGACTGGAAAATACCTTTACTTGAAAAAGAAATCCCACAACATTTCATGGTTCTACCAAAAAACTGGGAGCTTAACTACAAAGTTGCAAACTTAACTGAGCATGGCAATAGACTGTGAGCAGCGTATGAGCAGCTCTGAAGAGCTCTGAGGAAATAGAGCATGGCATATTTTTCAGATGAAGAGGACTGATCACAAAAGCTGAGCTGTTGCAAAAACCAGAACTTTCATTTAGGTGCTTCAGTATAAAAGCAGCTATGCCAAACCCATGACCACTGACATCCAGGTGCCCCAGCTGTAACAGAAGGGTGATGCCTTATTTTGTTACTAAGTGTTAGAAGGAAAAAGAAGTACTGGCAGTATAATCTAATCATACATCAGAAATCACCGTTCCCTTCCAACTTTTTGCTCCAGAGGGATCTTACAGGTAAGAAACACAATTACATTGAACTGTTCAAACAGATGCGTAGAAAATTGAAAGTGGGATCCCTTGACCTTCCAGGTAACTCCTCCTTTCTGTTCTTAAAGCTTTCTTTTTAACAGTTTGCCTTCCAGTCACCACATGGTGATATAGTAAAAATAACCCCCTGCAATCCTAGCTGCTCCCCTGTTAAAATATGTACTGCCACACACTGGTTTATTGATTCAAGAAAATAAATCTCTGCTAGAGCTAATATTGACTTTTGTTATGAAAATGGAAGTGAATAGCTAACTGAATATTGATTTGAAAGAGGAATGATATTTGATAAGCTTAAAAAAAGTAAAAACAAAGTTGCAGCATGGAAATAAATGCTTCCAAACAACATTTTAAGAGTAGAATCAATTCCAGATGACAATTACCTGATTACTAGGAAAAAAGTTGGTTGTTGCCAAATATCTTAAAAGCACCTGTAAATAAGACAGATGTGCATTCTTCCCTATGATTACTCCATAGGTTTCTATTTGTATCACTTGTTCTGGACCCTAACAGCAGTGAGGGACTGGTCTGCTAAAGCTTGCTGCAGTTTAGCTACTGTTCTCAAAGTGAACAGCCTTGCAAATGGGAGATTCATTATTAGCTGCCCTGATGTGGCATGGCATCATTACAGGAGGTGCAGTTCATCAGCTGTTCTCAAAGCAGGCCTGTTTGCAAAGGGGACATCCATTAGTACAACGTGATGTACAGTGCTAACATCACCATATTTAATGAGTCTAATTAAAAAGAAATTCAGCACATGCTTTTTAAGCAAATAGGGATCAAATTCCTTGCCAAACTAAAATATTATCTCATTTGGATAACTCTGTACAGCCATTTGGTTGGTATAATAATTTTAAACTGTGATTCACAATACACATTGGGGACCCACCAGTTTCACTGCTGACTGGCCCACTAACACCCCAGCTCACCCCATTTGCTGCACCCTTTCCAGCAATTGCTGCCACAGCTGTTTCCGTGGGAACTCGCTGGAACCCAGCTGTGGTGCTCAGATCTGGGTCAATGCATTTGTACAGGAACAGTCTCCTGTGAAAATGGGAAGGTTGGTCAAAAAGCAGCCTCTTTGCAGGACTGCCAAAGATTTGTTACTGAAAGGCCTTGAAGAGTCAAGAGCTTTCCTTCAGCAAATCCAAACTGGAACACCACAAATCAGTTCCTTCAAGCTGAGCTATGGGATCAGCCAGAAGGCAGAATGCAGATTTTTTAAAGATTTCGTTTTCAGGAGAGACTGTGGAGCAGTTACTGAACATGCCTTCCTGCTCTTCAATCTGTTCAGCTAAGTGACAACCCTCACATTTTTGCATTTTCTGGTGTTCACTGGTCACTGCAGAACTTGAGCTGTGGGGCACTGGCCATGGGCTTCTCCCTGGCAGCTGTAAGCTAAGGCCACAGCGCCCCAAGCTAACAATGCTCCAGATGGCTTTTTGTTTCCACCTTTTTTTTCCCCTTTTAAATAACTGAAACAATATGCTCACTGCCACTGGAGTAGCCTCTCCACTGATCTGGTCCTACTGGCACTGAATTTCTCCAGGAAGATGGAGAGACTGGAGGCTCTGGTTCGTGGGTCTCAGCCCGAGCTGTGTTTTGCAGCAGCCACAGGATTGCCCCAGGCCAGCGAGCAGGCTGGGGATTCTGGCTAAAACCACCAGCAGTGATGTGGCCAATGAGAACTGACATTTGGGGCCAATGTTCCAAGCAGTGCATTTTTAAACTCCAACTCCAGCAGTGCAGATGATGAAAAAGTACAGAGCATTACACACAGCCCCGGGGGAGGGGGGCTTCAGCGCCAAAACCAAGAGACACGTATTTAACAGCTTCAAGCTCTGCTCATCTTCAAAATTCCAGTGTAAAGACTCAAAGTCTCCCAAAGGATACCTTTTAAGACATTATCTATAACCAATTCAAGGCTGGAATGTTTTTGATTGTTCCTTGGTTTCTGCAGGATAAAATGTTTAATTAAAAGACCTTCTTTTAAGTAGAAGATACAGTTTAAATGCAAAAATACTCCGTTAAGTGAAAAACCTTTCTCAAGGGGAAAAAAAAAAAGGACACTACTATAGAAATGAAATAGTGAAAAGAATCTACTACTTAAAATGAAAATTAGTAATCTTGCCCTGTTTTTGAAAGAATAAATACTTCCTTTCTCTTAAGCAGTGATTTTACCAGTTTGAAACCCTACAGAACTACAAATTAGTTTAAAGGTTCAGTCCAGTTTGAAACATGGGAATATTACATGTGCCCCTTGTGGGAACAGCGATGTGCCCTCCTGAAGTCTAAAACAGGTTTGTTTTCTTTTCCACAATGGCACAAACTGGCAGCAGGAAGCACCTTGGCAAGTTATAGCTGTACACAATTAAATAGGGGCTCCCAACATAATCAATCCCTGGCACTTTTGTAAGTCATTGGGGTGGAATAACACCATTCTCCCTAACTGCACACACCTCTTTAAAACTGTACCAGCCTTAATATTCCCTACTGGCTCTCCTGTTCCAACTCATTACATTTTATATCTCCCCACTTCAGCCTTAAACTGAAGTCAAGAGTTGCAACTGTCAATCACTGCTCTGCTCTGGAGTCCCTTTATAACCTGCAGTCTGAAGGAAAAGCTTCCCAGGCCTGCATTTCCCACCACCACCCTGTCCAACAAACTATGGCATGATTCTGATTGCTTGTTAAGACATCCTGGGGCTCTAATAAGCAAGTTTCACATTGTTTGGTACATTTGTTTCACTTCCTCTGACTGAAATTTTAATGAGTATAGGAAAGAGAGGCTTCATTTGGAACTACCAGAAAAGTGGGAAAACAAGGATACTTTCTGAGAGATCTCAGAAACAAAGAAGTAACCAAAAGGCATCTGAGCAAACTAATTTACAGCAGTAAGAGAACTAAAAGCTGCATGCCTATGAATGTTCTGTGTGCCAGAGGGCAGAAGTGATGGACTAATTTATGCAGTCAGTGATACAAGAATGATTTGCTTCTTGTCAATCTTATGCAGTCTCTGTGATTTACAGAACAGATGAGAGGAAAAGAAAAAAATTACAAAAATTCTTCTGTTATGGAGTACAACTGTTATAAAATTACCTCTCCATTTAGAACATAGAATAGGATAAACTATTTCAGCTGGATGGAACCTACAAGGATTATCTACTCCAGCTGCCTGACCAATTCAGAGCTGACCAAAAGGTAAACCTGTTGTTAAGATGCTGTCCAAATGTCCCTTAAACACTGACAGGCTCAGGGCATTGACCAGCTCTCTAAGGAAGCTTGTTCCAGGGACTGATCACCCTCTTGGTGAAGAAGTTTCTCCTACCATACAGTCAGAACCTCCCCTGGCACAGCTTTGAATTATTCCCACATGTCCTGTCACTGGATGCCAGGGAGGAGAGCTCAGCATCTCCTGTCTGTTTCCCCTCCTGAGGAAGGTGTAGAGAGCAATTTCCATATTAAATTACCAAACATTTTTCTTGCCACACCTAAACACCAAATGTGCAGGTGGAACAAATTCAGAGATCAGAATGAAATACGGTTCACTGAAAGGTATCAAACAGGTTCCTAGCTAGTTATCTGGTTAGATCCAGGGGCTGAAGTATTTTTTGGGTTGTTTTTAACCCTAGATCTCCATGTGCTCAGTGAAAAAGTGGTTCAGCTGATGCAAGGAAATTACCCAGTGTGATTCAGCAATTGGATGCATGTTCAAGGCTGAAACATCAGGGTCCTGGAAGAGGACCTGGGCTCAAGTCAGCCAATTTAAAGAAATATATTGTATTTTGAGCTATGCAAGCAAGGATTAGTTAGTTATGTGATTGAGGTCCTCAGAACTATCACACAACTTGTGGTTTCTCTACATGCACCCCAACAGCGGATAAAAGTTGAAGGGGAATGGAGATTTTATTAACTATATTTATCTAATCCCTCAATGAGAAAGAATTGTGTTTCATACAAAGTAACTCTTACACAAAGATTTAAACATAAAATAGAGCAAATTAGGGCAAACAGAACAGGTTGGAAATATAACTCAATTTGACCATAAAAGATAAAACCCCTATGATGCAGATACATTTCTTCTAGTGTAACAGCAATTTCATGTTCAGATCTATAACCTTATCAATAAGCAAAGCCTATAAAGTACAAATTATGGAAAATATGCTTAAACATCACAGAAAAAAAATAACAGCAAGTTACCTTGCGATCTTCTTTAAAGACTTCAGCAGCAGTTGTGAAATGTGGAATGGCATTTTTACAGTGAGGACACCCTGTTTGACATAGGAAGAAAAAGACATCATAAACTTTAGTTGTAGGAAAGATATTGGGACAAACTCAAGACACAAGGTGAGTCAGTGGAAAATCTGAATTAAAAATTGCTCTAAAGAGGAGCTCTCCAGTTCTGGAATGAGCAGGACAAAACATCTGTCAGCTACATGAAAGTAAGCACGTGTTTAAGATCCCTGTGACCTCAAGGACTTCAGGTGTCTGTTTACAGTTACACGACATCCCATAATAAGGACCGTGGTGCAGGGGGCTTTTCTCCATCACCAATCTCCTAAGGGCACTTCCAGAGCACCAGCCCCAGACAGACCATTGCCCTGCTCTGCACCTCCTGGCATTGCCAGGCAGGTTATTACTGCTCTTGCCACAGATACCAGCTACATTTGGGCATAGGAATAAAGACAGCACAGCTGGGAACAGGAGGCTGGAGGTTGGAAAGGAAACTGCTGGGAGCATTTATAAGTATTTGGAAAAGGCCTGTGTTAAAGCCAAGCCATTGGGAACATAAGGGAGGGGAGGAGAAGCAAGTCCAATAGGCCAGACATGTTTCATGGATGGAGGGCAGATGTCCAGTCTCAGGTTAGGGTGACTGCTGCTGACCTGCCAGTTGTTCACCACAGCTGGGCAACCCCTGAAGAGTTCTACAGACACTGCACACAGGAACCCCAGAGCCCTGAATGGGAGATGGGCTGATACTTCTTGGTACCACTGCAGCACTGAACAAAAGGCCAGCTAATCCCTTGCTTTAATACACACTGATTTGACTCAAGATTTCAGAAGTCACAGAAGGGAAATTAGAACTGTTCTCTTGATTTAAGGTTCAGGTATGAGTGCTCTTAATTTAGAATCAATGTCTACAAATTATTGTCTATGAATAATCTTAACTCCTCTCAAAACATCATTACTATACTAAGTAAGACTTTGAAAAGCAAAGTACCTGTATATGTGTAATAAATTACTTTTTTTCAAACTCAGCACAGAGGCTCATCACAAGCAAAGACTCAAGACACTATTTTTGGCTTAGATGCACATTAAGAAAGGAATGGACACACTTCAGTCAAGCCTGTGTAATGCTGGCAAAGGAGTTCATCTTGCTATTATTTCTGGGTAGGAACAGAAAAATCACAAATGAGTTTCTCACAAGCACCAATCACAGCTTATGCTACTGTTGTTTACCAGTATTTTACATGCTAAACAAGTGTCTGTGTTACTTTAAAATCAGGACTGAACAAATGCCCTTCTAGGAGACTTGCAGCCACCCTCCTAAGCTATGCTCACTCTTTCAGCTGACAAGGAAAATAGTATCTGTGCATAAACACTGCACACTCCTTTCCACAAAGGAAAGGCTGAATACCCCTTCAGCTTCACCAAAATGTAACTTCATTGTTTACATGCACTGCTTTGAATTTTAGAGCATCTCTTTCTCCAGAATAGGGTTCTGAAAGTACTGCAGTGACACATCTGTGTAAATGTACTGGGAGCATGTGCAGTAACTAAGAATACCAGAAAGTCAAGGGGATGTTTCCTGGGAAACTGAGGCACTTCTGTAAATCCACCTTAATGGCTTCAAACTCTTTATGGAGCACGATGGCAGCTGTGTTTCAGTGGGAGACAGCACAGTGTTCTACAGCTCGCAAACTATTAACCTTGTTGGGCTGTTCAGCATTTGCCTGGAAGAAAATGGTCATGAAAGAAAAGGAAGAGGAGGAAGAAGAGAAGAAAGAGGAGGAGGAGGCTAGGGTTTCAGGCTGCTCCCATGTCCATCAGCCCACTTTGGTGATCCATTTTCTCTCTTAGCACTTGTCTGGCCTGTCTGCCTGATACTGAAGAGCCTGCAGGTCAAGCCTGAATCTTAACAAATCCTGGATAATTTCCTGTACTGTGGGGGGACTGCCTCGGTTGCCTTGTTAACACTGCTCTACACAAATAAATCAGAACTGGTGACGACATCTAAAAAGAATTTCAGGAACAAAAAATGGATAAAAATCAGGCACCTCTAAAACAGGAACACACTTGTTCTTAACTACATGCTGCAGTTTTTCTGGAAAGCACTTCCAACTGTTACACTAAAACATAAAGGCTCTTAAAAACTTAAATCTTTCAGGTTCCCTTTTTTGCTTATGATCTTGAAATTTAGGTTTCATTAATGAACATCTTGTAAACTCTCAAAAAAAGGTATTTCAGGACAGTATGGCCTCTCTCAAAGCCCCTAGAGAAGTTGTAGCAGGTAAGAGCTCTTCATGAGCCACCTTCTGCAAGAAAATGAGAACACAAATAGCAAGCATATTCTTCCACACAAAAATACCAAATCCAATACCAAATAATGAGAAATTACCTTCATTTATCCATCTGAAGCTCCATCCCTCCTCCCTTCACTTCTCCCTTGGCCCAACCTCCTTTCTTTACTGCACTGTGCTCACAAAACTAAAACACAACCATATGGCTTTTGGCAGAGCTGCCTCCAAGTCCAGTAGGCATTTTGTTAGCCTTGGACATCCATCCACGGAACAGATGTGAATGCTACACTGAATTCCCAAGGAGTTTCAAGGAGTCACTGAAAAAGGGGGAAGGAGCACATCATATGGAACAGCAGAACTTCATCTGTTACAACTTAGAAGGATTGCCAAATGCAGCAAACACTTGGAAGTCACCCAACCCAGTCATTCTATTTAAAGCACACATGCCAAAAAAAATAAAAGCAGAGGTTGATGTCTTCATTTTGACAGACGGAAAACTTGTTCTCCCCATTCCCTCTTCACACCCACTATCACACATTTATTTTAAGTGTTAACACTATCTTCTAGATTCGAAAGTGCAAGGAAAGGAAATGTACTGAGCACAGTACATGAGGATAGGAAGTGTGCAGCCTCCTTACAAAGGAATTTTCAGATGGGCTGCAATGGAAAGAGATTAAACCGGTGGCATATAAAAGTGTAAGGTGTTAAGAACCAAAAGGTCCTGCCCCTTCTCAGTCACTATGGACTAAACAAGTTGGAAAATTCATTTTAGTTTAATAATTTGGATCCTATGGTAAGCACACAGACTTCCTGCAAGGACAAGAAGTGGAGTTTTAACTGAGCAGCATTGAAAAGCAGCACTTCTGGGAGCAGAACTTCTAACACAGATGCAGGGCTTTGCTTTAACAATTTTCTTTTTTCATTTTTACAACAGTGTCAAATTTGATCTCAACAGGGTTAAGAGCAGATGTGAACTTAACAGTAATTTCCTGTGCCTGACTTGAGAAATGTGAAAAAAACCCCTGCTCCTGAAATATCCAGCCTTTCTACAGGATCCCAGTACTGGCACAGAAAACCTCTAATCATTCCTGCACATCTCAAGATAACTCCATTTCCTACTGCAGAAACACAGTTGCATCACCTGGTAGGAAAACAAGAGAACTTGACATCTCAGGCACATGCTGTAGCATGTGCTGAGGCCATTCCCTGTTCACAATCAGCAAACAATACAGCTTTAATAGAGCTCTAGTCATGCACTCAGCTCTGTGCTCAGAATTTGGCTCTCTGGAGGACCCACCATACAGTCCATGGTGGCATCTGCTCCCCCTGACCTGCTGGGGCACGAGAGCTGCCTGCTTAAATCAAGGTCCCAAACACCTGCAGCTCAGGAGTTCTGGAGTTCTCTTTGGCCTTGTACTACAAATTTAAAAACGTACACAAACCCAGTATTTTCTACAAGGTTTTTCTCCACCATTCATGTTGTAAAGGTGGTAGGAGATGTGGTACAGTCACAGCAGGCACCATCACACATTCCTCACCTTGAAAACCAAGTAGCTCTCGACTGAGCCAGTACATGAGAAATATGGTTTCTGTGGGAAAAATTCAAGAGGAATGGCTGATGAACAGCAGACGAGGGAAATCAAGCAAGCAAGCAAGCAGGCTTCACTCAGAGCCATTATCACTGAGGGGAGAGGGAGTCAGATTAAATCTCTTCTAATTAGAGAGGCATTTTAAGGAAAGCTAGTGGGTCTTTAGGGAGATGAAGTGATGGAAAATATATAACCCAGCTTGTTTTCCATGGGCTGGATTTACTGATAGCAGGAACAACCTCAAGGTACAGCACCTTCTCAGGGTGTCTTTGAGGAAAGACCCAAGGAGCCAGCACTGCTTTGGGCACAGAAAGGGGCTGGAACTTCATTCTTGTGGAAACACTGCTTTGAGGACTGTGAAGAAGTGAAGAACTGCAGGGCTGAGCTGGATGTGATTTCCAAAATGATGCCACAACACATTTCTTACATGATGCAAAACACAGAGAGCACATGGGGTAATAGAAAAACTTAACTACGTGCTCACATCACCTTGTGAACTGATATTTTGGTTTTTAAACAAAAAGGAGACTAAGAAAAAATAATATAAACCCATTTTTCAGGTATGGTAAGAATGACACAAAATTGATATGATATAGTAGCAATTTGATAAATTTTCAGACATAATAATACCTGTGAAAACATTTTCCATAATTGCAGGATCCCATGGGATGCAGAAGGGATGCAAAGAGGATTTCAAAGCAGTGGAACAACCTAGTGAATAACCTACATGTCTTTATTGCATTCAAATGGAGAATTTTTCATTGAACAGGGCTTCCTTTTTTTAACCAATGAATTGTTTAGAGAATATAGTAGTCAAAAGTAAACTTAAGAGATTCTTACAACTTCAATGTACAAAGGTATTAGGACTAGACGGCAATTCTAAAGATGTCTCGAGAGTAGGGCATGAAACAGATGCACCCTGTTGTACAACAGTCACTTCATTAAATTTAAAATAAAATTGTGGCAAATTTTCAGAACTGCCTAAAGGAACCAAGTCCCCTTTCTGAGAACTCAGGTGTCTACTTGTTTAAATATGAAAAAAAAATCCTTTAAGTTTATTTACTTCATGCATTGTTTAATTTGAAACTACAAAGCCCAGTGATATAAAATAACCTCTCTAGAGCTGAACAGTACAAGGTTAATTCAGTTTCCTTAGAAGAG